ATTTAAAAAAAAACGCTTTATAATTCATATAGCGTTCACATTAATGTGTATTATTAAAAATATAATTTATACATACGTTTCTAAATGCAATAATTAGTATGAAAATATACTAAAATATACTGTAGACGTTTGTTAAGCCAAAGATAACAAAGTAGTTGATGAGCTGAAATTGATTTATAGTGTATATAGAGTGTCAGCTATTCACATGTATATTAGTATGCATGCCTTTGTGTATGTGTGAAAATTAAATAAACAAACGTCCATCCATAATAATAACAAATACATTTTGTACACTCACCCGAAAGCCGCGAGGCTAGCAAATAGAGTGAAAAAACTCTGTCTGTATTCGATATGCGGTCATTGGATAATAAATAAATTGCGCTGACAAATTTGATAGTGATTATTTTCATGTCGCTTTTCTTTTTTTTTTTTTTTTTTTTTTTTTTTTTCATTGTGTGTGTTGGCTGTGACAATTTTTGATTTGATTTTAACAATTTAATGGTTTAATTGTGCAAACATGCACTAGCATGAGCACTGGTATAATAGTTATTATTATTATGGTTGTTGCTTTTGTTGTTAACAAACGCTTAACACTTCGATAAACATTTTAACTAAAAATAAAAAAAAAGAACCGTAAGACATTTAAATATTTTAAGCTTAGATAAAGAAAGTTTAGCATGCAAAGCTTTTGCCCTATCGACCAACTCTAGTTGGTTGCCTAGTCAAAAATTCGATTCATATTACGAATCGAAATGTTCAGCGGTGGTCACGTATTATTGGACTTCTCGGCCATACCAAAGTTGCATGGGCCAGAGAATTTTTGGCATTGGCGTATGCTTTTGCGTGCCTATTTGGAGTCAGCTGACCTATGGAGGGACGATCATCCAAAGGATGTGAGTTTTTAGCTAAAAATTGTAGAAAAACTTGCTAAGTTTTTTATTTCACTTGGTTTTCTCTATTTTTAGAACCCTCACGCCAAGTTCATAGTTTTGGCCTCAGTGCAGTCTGATAAGATAGAGCCAGGATACGATGATGAGACACCAAAGCAAATATTTAAAAGTCTAGAGGAACGTTTCCGCCCCTATTAGTGGGGAATTTAATTCTCTAATAATATAAATTATA